GTGCAATTGAATGGATTTCATAACATATAGGAAGTTTTCCCATTACACTTGACAGGAATAGAATAGGCTGGAATCAAAGGGATACGTTAACAACTCAGCATATCTCCCCCTTTGGAACTAGCATTAGTCTATCATATCACTAAAAAATAATAAATCTTTGTAAAAGGCAGCGGTTGCTTTCATAGTCTGGCAGCAAACCCCTTCTGGTACTATTGGAAAAGTAAGAAAGGCAACATACTCTAAATTACATTGTTAAAACACCTACACCCTGGTTCATTTTCATATGCTATCCATATGTAAGCCCTTAGCAATAGACAGCCACTTAAAAACTCTCTTGTTCTCTACGTGTGTGTGTGAGAAAGAGCGAGCGAGAGGAGGTGATCAGGGAGCCCTATGTTTTTATTCTGACATTTTCAAGTGGAAAATATTGCAAAACCTAACTGGTGTGAAAATAATTAAACTGGATAAATAAATGAATAAATATAATGGCAAGTTTTCACATATAAAAATTCCTGAAAAGTTTTTAGTTTTATCAACCCCCTTCCACACCCACCAGAGCATATGGCCCTCTGTTTGTGCAAATCAGCAGTCTTTGCTTAAAGTGGATGTTTCTATTAACACTGTGACTAATTACTGAAAACAAACATGTGTAAGTATGATCTCTGCTAACTGCCTCTGTCAACCCATCTTTTTCTTTGTGCTATTCATTCAAAGGGATTAAGATTGCTTGCAAAAGTACAGTAGACCTCTATTTAGCCCGTTAACTGGCATGAATAAACAAAGTCCATCAACCACAATTGACGTCAGGCTTCAAGAAATGTTTTTTACATTAGTTTAAAAAAAATACAAGCTATAAAAAGTGAAACAGTTTTAGAGAATGCTAAACCACTGAACGTAAAGAGCTTTAACATTGGATATAAAGGGCTGGTTTGGGAGCAGGCACTGAGAGCACAGCTCTACAAACTGCAGCACATGAACTCAGATGGGTGGCAGACACTTTGCGCTGAGGATAGCCAATGTTGTCCCAGTGTGCAAGCCCGGACATACATGCAAGCAGAAGGGGCATCCACAGAAACTTTAATGTCAGTCTTTCTTGTGGTTTTCTCCTATCCAAAAATAAAAATGAAAAAAAAAAAAAGACTCAAAGAACCCATTTGGTCTTTGTAAGATGCAAAGATGAAAAGATGCTTCCAAGTGTCCTACAAGAGCTGGATTTATCTGCTGCCATGACAGCATCACCAAGTGGAATGCAACAGTCTGCATGGCTCCTTGTCTTGCTGCGCACTTGGGAGAGGAGGAGAGACCCAGGATCCTTTGGAGCATGTGTAGTTCTTATCAGAGTAAAAAGGGGAAAAAGCATTTTTATGGCATAGCTTGAATGTGTGTGCTCTTCACAGCCCCCTTTTCTGGGCTGGCTGTGGCCCTGGAGAAGGTGTTTGCCTCTGAGATGCTGTGGCCAGTGGTGAAACCAAGTTTCAGTGCACTTCTTTCTCATACACACACCGACTGACCTTACAGGAGCCAGCTCTCCAGGGGGGAGATAGAAGTAGTAACTGCCTTTATACAGCCATGCTGCCTGCCTAAATCAAAAGCTCTGGGATTGGGTCTCAGTGCATTTTACCTCTAGTTGTATGTAATGCAAAAACAAAATGGATGCTAGAAAAAACACACAAGTCTACATGTGCTGATTTTTCTGAGCATGTAGTATGGTTGGGAGCCAATTCCCTGTCATTTCTCATCTCTTGCACTTTACATAGGGTGTTTCCTTTATAAAACAACTTGCCTTTGGGTTTAATGATTTCTAAGGAAGCATAACTCTGTCACTGCATTCCGGTGTTTAATTCCTCCTTTGTCATTAGTGTCTGCCTGATGCAGCCCAGGGACGCCAGTGTGCTCACTGAACTGTGTATGCGCTTTGTGTACTCTTGGGCTTGTGCCCATGCCTAGAAGCTGGTGTTTGATCTAGACTGAACAAGATGGCCTTAGCCTTCAAAGCTCAAAGCTAGTGTGTTTACATTCCTCTGCTCTATCTAGCCTCTTTTTTTCAAGTGCCCCCAAGATAGGCGTTTTGCTGTTAGAATAAATACTTACCTTGTGCATTGTGCTTTCCTCTGGTGGCCCCGGCATGCTTTTGCCGAGGTGGAAGCACTGTTAACTCAATTTTATGGATGGAAAAATGGCAGCACAGTGCTCAGACCTGCAAGGTAAAGCAGGGGCAGAAACAGCCAGGAAAAAAACACAGGTCTCCTCTCAGCCCAGTGTAGCCCAGCCTGCTTCAGGCCCATAGGCAATCATAGCACCTCAGTTTTCTTTCCAGCCACCCTTGCCTCAGCGGTTCCTTCTCTCCTTCCCAAGCCAAGCCTCGTGGTGCAGTGGGCTGGGGGATATGGGAAGCAGGAATAGCACAGCAAGGAATATGCAGAAATGAAAAGTCCTTACCTATTCACTTTAATGCAATGTGGACTGGAGCAACCAGGGCTGATGTGCTGTCTTGTCTGCTCTGTGCATGTCATCGGAGGAGAGCTAGGTCAGATGATAAGGTCCTATGAACAAGACTGGTGAAGAGCAGAAGTAGGAAGGGGGTGAAAACCCTTCTGAGAACAGGAGATGAATAGGATCAGTGGTCGGCTGGCTCTGTCTCCCATCACATGGCATTGCTTTGGTTGTATGAGGGGAACAGCAAAATTCACTGCCAGTAGTGACACATTCAGAAATGGCCTCTCTCTGCCTGGGTCAGCCACAGCATGGCAGGGACAGGAGCTCTGGCTGGGTGCAATAGGGGAGAGTGCACTCTGGCTCTTCTCAAGCTCAACAGTGGTACTGACTACAGACATGTGAAGGAAAACCCAGTGATTCAGTGGTTGCTGTTTGTTCCTACTGCTGTGCCCAGCACATATGAGAATATTCAGCTCCAATAACGGTGCATACACAGGAATCAAGTCTGAGAGCTGGAATAACCAATGGAGAAACCCAAGTGAGCTACAGGAATAGGAAAACAGCTACAGCAGGGTGCACAAAACTCAAAACTTGAGTTTACTGTTCAGCTCCTCTTTGGTCAAGATGCAAGTGCAACCTAATCCTCCTGGGTATGAGATGAAGCAGCAAACAGGTAACTCCTGGCTCAAATCTCATCAGGTTTCCTTCCCTTCTCACAGACATTTCAAATTTGCCACCATTTCCCCAAAGATTTTGGAGCACCCTAATTTTGGCTCATTCATATCACACTAAGGCAGAGAAGAGAAAAGCAGTTATGAGTGCTGACGCTACACCCTTAGTTTGCTCCGTTAACACAGGATCAGGCACTTTTGATATATGGGGTGGGGAATAAAAATGAGTAAACAGGGCAAAAAGCCTACACCTTACCTGCCCCACGGCTTACAAAGTCAGGCACATCAGTATAACACAAAAAGAAAAAGCCACTCCAAGTGCAGAACCTCTCAATCTTCATAGTTCGCATTTCCCAACGCATGGTGTAGGCTGACAATTATTTTCCGTCCTCTGAAGACGGGGGTTTGAAATCAGACAACTCTGCACTCAAATTCTCTTCCCACTCTAAATGCCATTTAATGGCAATGTAACCGGAAAGGCCAAATATCAGCTCTTACTTGGCAATGGCCCTTTCTAGAGTCAGGGCCGTGGCCCATGCTGAGACACAGAAGACCTCCCAGTTTCAGCAAGGCTGTTCACAAACACTGGGATTTCTTGAGAACAGCTCTTACAGAAACTCTGAACACCAAAATGCTGTCAAGAGTACAGATTGTGCTGATGATGAGAGAAACAAATAAATTACTGAAAGGCAGGTAAGAGCCTTAGAATAGGGCTTAGGTCAGTGCTGGAGTTCTGACTTAAAAAATAAAAACTCATTTCACATGTCTTCACGATGCATTTATTTATGCCACTGTTCCTCCTCTTTACCTTACACCAGTTTGTAAAATGGACAAAAAATACCTCCTCTGCTTAACAAGGTGAAGAGCTGAGAGTCTTAGAAACATTTTGTTATATCTATGACTGTGCTGCAAACCCAAACCAAAATAAGATCCTTCTAATAAGTGTTCATCCATTAAATACACTTTGTAATGCATACATTTCCTTCCCACTTTTGGGGGGTGCAGGGGATGGGGAGCAATGTTAATTCCATTATCAAATCCCAATTTAAGTATTTTCAAGGTCTAGGTCAATAATTACTGTCTTAAAAAACACTAACAATTTACAAGAAGCAAGAGAATTACATGAGTTCAGGGAGGATGTTTTGCACTGGCAAAACACCAATGTTTGAATCAGCAACATCCACGTACTCACACAGGAGACCATGGTACAGAGATAGGACCAAATAACTGGATATAAATGGAAATCATGTTGATGGTGTTCTCCTGCTAGGGCAGTCTTAATTTCTGCAGCAATCATGCTATAGGTGGACTTACTTCTGGA